TAATTAAATTCAGTCTGGGTACTCTTACCGAGCGCGGTCCATCGTTCATTAAGCGACGGATCAAAGCGATATTCCCGTAAAGTAGTTCCACTTTGTGGCGAGGGAGAACCCTATACTACCTATCCCTTACCTTTCACCCTCCTCCCCGATCTCGCGGATATAGCCTTTGCTTTCCACGCGTCAACCCTCCACGCAACCAATCGTTAATCGCCCGATCTTCTTCTTCTTCTTCTTCTTCTTCTTCTTCGCGGTTGTTAAAGATTCCCCTTATTTCATTACTCGTAGCGGATTAACGTACAAAGGGGATGTAATTTCTAAAAGATAAATATTTGAGTCACGAGGCGACAGCGCGTTGAATAGCGTGAGAGATATATTAATGGATAGGTCGAAACAAGTATTTGGTACAGGTGGCGATATATTATTTTGCTAGTTTCGCATTAGCGCGGGAATACCTGGTACGATTAATGGCCTTCGAATGAGCCATAGAAGGCAACGCGACTCGCAGCTGTTACACACTGCCACGGTGAATAATTAGCGGCCATAGTAATTTCCCGATCGTTAATAATCAAGCATTACGTACATATATATATATATACATGTAATAAAATGAAAAGTCGTTGCCACCTTTCAACGCGATTAAACCTGGAGGAAGGAGTGAAAGAAATAAAGTAAGTAATCTGCCTACCATGGTGAATTCGTCGTAGAGGTAGGAAATCTCCGGATAACTCATGAAATCGACCATGGTGGCGCAGCGTGAACGCGTACGTGAGACCAAATTATCAGCGTCGTGGAGTGCGAGTGGAGAGCAACAGGCACGATAACACTTGATAAATGACGTCGGATCGTCGCAACAATGGCGAGATGCAAAAGTGGCGCGCGTATCAACCCCGGCCTTGAAGCGGTTCACTCGAAACTATAAGACAAAATATTTGAAATACCGGCTTGGAACCGCTACTGCGCAGAATCACTATATATACATACACATATATATATATATATATATGTTCACTTTATAATAATTCACAAACACTTGGCGCGATTCGATTTTATCCACGGAAAGAAGACTCGAGGGATCCACATTCCGAAGGCTCCACACTGGATTCGCGCACCAATCACGAAGAGAAACACTCTTAATTTCACGACACGAGGAATTTCGCCAGGATTGATGCGCACCGACTCCGGCGAAAGCGAAAGAAAGAAGGAAAGGGCGCGTACAACTGCGACTGGCTTATTCTCAGGGCCGTATCGCGCAAGTTGGAGGCAAGGGTCCACGAGGCACCCACGAGGGTAGAAATGGGCGGCTTTATGCGCAGACGGCGGATAAAAGAGAGACGTATACGTATACGTGCACACGTACACGGAGAGAAAACGAGGACTCGCAAGCCCGCGCTTGCGAACGAAAGCACGAGGGAGAGTAAGCTCGGTCACTGAGGCGTCGCCACTCGGCTTGCTTCCTCCGGAGTGACTCCCTCCTTCGCTTCTAGTCCCCTACCATTTCCATTCTATCCCTCCTTAACCTTCTCCTCCACCTTCCTCTTCTTCTTCCTCTTCTTCTTCTTCCTCTTCTTCTTCCTCTTCTTCTTCTTCTTCTTCTTCT